ACATGATTGAAAAGTTGGTTAATTCAAATTATTAATGCCACAAATAATGTACTGCTTTTAGTTAATTAATAGTATTAATGTACTTATATAATATTTCGATTATAATATATATACAGGCAAAATGTATAGACAAAACAGAAGTTGGATGTACCAAAAACATCGTGATAACTATGGAATACGCAGTGAATTTTTTAATGGTATTGAAGATTTTATTAAATTTGCACAAGAACAGAAGAATTATATAGATGGCGATAAAATCATATGTCTATGTACAATTTAATATATGTATGTTTGATCACATTTTTGTGACAATTTAATATATTTATAAAAGATTGATATTTTAGTTATCTATTGGCTTTTAATTTAATAATGTTTGTGAGTGATCATATAAAACGCTCAAAAGTTTGAATTCAATGATATCACAAAAATTCTTGTTATGTATATATCACTAAAAAATATGATGCATTGGTATCACAAAAATTCTTGTTACGTATATATCACAGTTTTCTATGATGTTTATATGTCATATTTTTGTAACACAAAAGTGACTTGTTAACGGTGACACTAAATTTAGCGTCAGTAGCCCCACTTTTCTGTGACACTTTCAAAGTGTAACTAAATCGTTTAGTGACACTAATTTAATGTCACTATAAGCCATTTTTTACTAGTGATATTATACCTTCCGATTGAATTGTTAGAAGGAATTAAATATTATTAATTGGATTAAATAATATTTAATTCATAATACTGAAAATGGATTAAATATTAATTAGATTAGACATATTTAATTCATGAAGTTGAAGGAGAGTTCTATTTGATTAAATTAATTAAGTAAGATAAATTAGATTTATCATACTTAAATAAGATGTATTTATTATTAAATAAAGTAGATATTTTCTTTTGTAATTTGGAATTAAAAGAAAAGTAAATAAAATAAATATTACTCCATTCATCCCGCTAACAATGGGACAAGAGGGAGTGACACACAAATCAATAAAAAGTGGTTTATGTGGTTGACTGGTTGATATTGAATTGATAAAGTAAGAATAAAGTAAGAATGATTTAGAGCCGCACAAACTTTACCAAATTAGGAATGAGACAATCTTAGTGGGACAGATCGATAAGGTAAAATGAGACAATCATAACAGGACAGAGGTGGTAATATATAAAATTAGAAAGTGGCGTGCAGCCACATCTCAATTATTATTATTATTATTTTGTTTTGTTTAATCTACTTATTTAATTAATTAGGAGTGTTGGTCCTAGCAGGATTAGAACTCATTAATTAGAAAGACTTTCATTGTGATTGGGAAACTAGTTTAGAACTAGTATAAATACATCATCCTCCTTCATAAGTTTGCGACTAGTTTTCAGATTAAGTATTCCCAGTTTATTTCCCTGCGAAGAGATTTTCAAGCCTTTCTCTTAGGGAGATCTAACCGTTCTTTCAAAAAGGAGAAATCACGTGGATACCAAAGGTCAAGGATTATCAATTTATCACCGCTAGGCTGGAAGATCTTTAAGTTCTAACTCAGATATGTTATTATTGATATATTCGTTGTTTTGTCATAATCAGGGAAGATCTATTTGGGAAAATTTTAAACACCCGCTGCTATACTTTCGAGGTACGTTACATCGATCAATTTCCTATCAAGAGAAACGTCGAAAATTTAATCATTTGTTTCTATCTCTCTCATACCACATGTGCACCGTGCACATTGTAGCATTGCAACTTAAATTCTTTCAAATTCTTATTTTCAATTTATCAGTTTTGTTGAACTTTTTATTTTTTAAAATTTAACTGTTGATTACGCACATGGGGATGTATACTAAATAATTATGTAAAATAAGAGTCAACTTTCTAACTGTTTTTATTTGATACTTTTGAATATTAGTGCATTGACTTACACAATATTAAACTTTTGTTGAGAAAAAAACATCAAAATTTAGCAGTGAAATTAATAAACAATTAAATATATAAAAGCCTGATATTTTAGATCTTAGAGTGATATTTTCCAATTACTCGGACCCTATATTGACATACTTTATCTTTCATATCTTGAACACATAACACAAACCCTGAATTGATAAAATTTTATCAGTACGTATACCGTGGTACCGGTGCATGGTGAGCACCATACTCCCATGGCTATATGAAATGTAACTCGTGTGATTTCACATGTAACTTCAAGTTAATCAAATGTAACTCGTTGAAATGTAAACTGCTTTAATTAAAATGTAACTTGGAAACAAATTCGATGTAACTTGAGATATGTAACTTTAGGCTATTGAAATGTAAAACGCTTTTACACAGATGTAACTCCATGTATTAATTAATATATATACACTATATATATATATATATATATATATCTAGGGAGCGGTTCCGGTAAGAACAGACTCTCAAGAGAGAAATGAGAATGAATCTGGACTGTTGGATTGTATCATGTGAAACTGAATTGTGCATTTGGTGAAACTGAAATGTGCATTATATGATATTGAAATGTGCAGAATAAAAATTTAAACTCAAGTGTGCATTAGGTGAAACTGAAATGTGCGGAATAAAAGGTACAAAAATAACATCACATCGTACTTTTTATTCTGCACATTTCAGTTTCACCTGGTGCACATTTCAATTTCACCTAATGCACAATTCAGCTTCACATAATGTCACTGTATCGTATTATTTGTGCCGCACATTTTAATTTCACATAATGCACATTACAGTTTCATAGAACGCACACTGAATTTCACTTAAAGCAAATCTAACAGTCCAGATTCATTCTCATTTCTCTCCTAAGATCATGTTCTTATTTGAACCAAAACCTATATATATATATATATATATATATAGGAAAAAGATCCCATGAGAAGGCTGCTTTAGGCTGAAAAATGAGAACAATTGTGTACCGTCCGATGAGATCAAAACTACCGTCCAATTAGATCAAAACTTTCGTCTCATTAATGGCATTTCTGTAAATTTGGTGAACTGTATACCTTTTTATTTAATGTCATGTTTTCAATCTTAGTCCGCCTCTCCGTTCTTATTCTTCTCCCAATCTTCTTCATCAATTTCATGGCGGCAATTCCATGGAGGAACACCGGTGCGTCTATCAGTGGTAATAGATCTATCCCCTAATTCGACTTCTGATTGCAGCGCCGTACAAGACCAATTTTTAGTGACGACGACTGACCATGGAAGAGGAATCGAAGCTCTGAATCGGCTTATTTTTTCTTGAATTTGAAGTACTAAACTCTTCCCTCATCTGCTAAAATATATGCGCTCAGAATTAATTTTACATGAAAATCATTTTTTATTTTTTGAATCCAAAATTTTGATACAATCTTTGTAGATTGAGGTTTTGAATAAAGAATGAATTCTTGTTATGCCTATCAAGTGTTTGATAGAATGTGTAAACAGTAATGGGGTTCATTTGAAGGTAGAGTATAATGTTATGAATAACCTATATATGAAACTCATTCACTAATTTCCTATTGATCATTCTCTATTCAGTTATCCTTTCATCCTCTTGAATTTACATTTATGTGAAAATATAGCCTCCTAAACTTTAGGCCTCATATGAGTTTTGAATAAAAGTTATGTCTTTCGAGTTAATAGTTATAGTAATTTGAGTAAAAGTTTTGTGCAAAAGGTATATTGCTTCCAGCGAAGTTAGTGTAGGGAAGAAGTCATGAAACCAGAAGTAGTAGATGTGATCAAAAGTTATATTGCTGCCATCGAAGTTAGTGCAAGTTTCAGTAATCTGGCTATAGCGGTCTTGGATAAGTTTGTTTCAGACCTGAACGAAACGTGTTTGTGTATACATGGTAACTGGGCGTATGAATGAATCTGTCTATACACATTCTCCGTGCTTAGAGTAAAGTCTTTAATTAAAAGATATGGGATGTGTGTAGTTGTGAATGTATGTTGTTTACTTAGTTGTGTGGATTTGGTTTCCTAGCTTAGAGAACGCTTCTGGCTGCATGTAGATCTAAAAAAGTGGTTTCCTAACTTAATATATTTTGAATTTTTTTCTACTTCTGATTTGTGTTGATTATTTGGTCTTTTGTTGGCTCTAAGCTGCTGAAATTGATGTTTTAGTTTTAATTTAGCTTTCACAGTGTTTATATCAAGGCTATTAGCTCAACTGGTAGAGCAATATGCATATTTGCATGAAGGTGCGGGTTCGAGCCCCGCATAGCCTACTTTGCAGATTATTACAACATGAATGATCATGATTTACTATTGCCTACTCACATATCATCTTTTAGTTTTCCAAACCAAATACTAAGATTTTTTACTTTTAGAAACACACTCTTTTTCTTGTTTGCTTAAGATTCCAGGTAGTCCCATTGATCTCCATGGTGATGTTCTCACCAAGATGTGCTTGTTAAAATGAAGGTGGTTGTGTATTAGATCTTGTTCAGTTTGTATCCTAACTCCACTATCGATTTTTAGATTCTCGCAGAGACTTGCTTTGACATTTGAAGACTGGTTTGGAAATATTCTGCTTGGATCCGGTTCATTGAGTATGATGTTGGTATCGGACTCTTTTATTGTAGCTTCTTTGCACATGAGTTTTGTAGTCCATGGTTAGCTCGAAAGAGAAGCCAAATTTAGTCGTTGGCTGTACGAAATGAAAGTCAAATCTCTCACTAATAACTGGACTGCAGTATGGGATATGGGTGATTTGTATGCCCTGGATTTCGACGGGGTTCTCTGTGATAGTTGCGGAGAAAGCTCTCTATTTGCTGTAAAGGCTTCCAGAGTGAGATGGCCCAGTCTGTTCAAGACTGTTGATCATTCGTCAGAAGATTGGCTTGTTGATCATATGCATATTGTTATGCCTGTGCTAGAATTTGGCTATGAAAATCTATTGTTTGTGAGGCTTCTGTTAGAAATTAGAGTTCCTTCCGTTCACAATTCCTCGGTTGGTATTCAGAAACTATCAAATAGTTGAATCAGTTGCAGATGGACTTACAGTCGATGATATAGTTGAAAACTGGAGGAAGATAAAGCCTCTCATTACTGAAGAATGGAATGAAAACGTAGATGAACTAATTGATCTTTTTGGTAAGGTGAGGGATGCCTGGATGGACAATGATATGGATACTTGGATTGGATCAAACAGGTTTTACCCTGGAGTAGCAGATGCGCTGAAGTTTGCAAGCTCAAAGATCTACATTGTGACCACGAAACAGAGCCGCTTCGTCTACTCATTACTTTGTCAGCTTGCTGGCGTAACTATTTCCCCTGAAATGATCTATGGTCTAGGTAAAGGGCCAAAAGTAAAAGTGTTGAAGGAGCTTCAAGAAATGCCAGAAAACAAGGGCCTTACCCTACACTTTGTGGAAGAGCGACTTGCAACCCTAAAGAATGTGATCAAAGAGCCTGAATTAGATGGATGGAACTTGTATCTAGGTGATTGGGGTTACAACACTCCAAAAGAGAGAGAGGAAGCTGCACAGATTTCTAGAATTCACCTTCTTGAGCTCTTCAATTTCAGCAAAAAGTTGAAATGATCACCATTTTTCACAATTTCAGTCTACACCCTATTATGACTGAAGCATACCCATAAGCAGTTGTGACAAATTTACTGCTCCCAGTAAGTGTAGTTCTGCAGGAAGTTTAAGTGTAGAATGATTATCACTATGTGTGCATAAATATTGTGTAAGTCTATCCTCCTTGATAGAAATGTTTGTCTTGGAAGGTTTGTATTCTGGAAAATGCTTAAGGAAAGAAAATGCTGATAAAAGTTATTTTCTTATTTTTGGTTTTACTTTGGAAAATAATGGAATATGATTAATGTCTCAAAAAAACTAGACTGTAGTACCATGAAACTTCTGGAAAAGAACTCAAAGCAATAAAGGCAATGAATAAGAAAAAAAATGACACAACTCTAACTAAGGTAGATACATGTTCTATTAGATTCTACACTTGAACTAAATGGAGCATCTACAAAATATATAAAGATTAACAAACAACCTTAAAGTTCATTTTTTCCAATTAAATTTACATTACCTAACTTTTAGGACAAGAAGGTTAACATAAAGAGAAGAATAGTAAAGATGTGGTCCAACTGTAAGTTTTTCGTAAATCCCAAAATAGAAACATACAATGGCAGACCAAAAAATAGAAATAAGATTAACAACATAGTAATAAAAGTGTTATTAAATTGGAATGTCATAAAAACACTAAACAGGTACTAATAGAGCTACAATACTAACTTCTAAAGAGTAATTTGTAACTTTACTCAAAATATGAAAGTCAGTAAGACATTTTGTGTTTTAATACGAAATATAGTCTTTCTACAATAATAATTAGAAATTTATAAAAAAAACATACACAATACTTTGTAACTTTTATTTCGAAAAGTATAACTACTAAATGAAAATTCATAACTTTTTCACAAAGTAAAATTTATAAAAAACTTACAAATGTCACAAGTTCTATCGTATAAAGGAGAGCGAAGTTAGCACCCTTGGCATCTACATCAGCCATCAAAACATACAATTGTTATACAGTTAAACATTGTTTTATAGTACATGGTGCTTCAAAACGTTTTACCAACAACTATTAGAGACAACGCTACCTAAAGCCACAACTTATATTTCATATCAATAGAAGCATGTTGATCTCTTAATGTTTATTCTGCTATATCATCATAAAAAGTAAAGTAGCTTTTTAGCTTTAGAGCCACACTAATAGAGCTTGAATCATAACTTTTAACAAGAAATTCATAACATTTAATTCAATAACTTCAAAAGACCTTCTTCAATTGTCTAATCTAATTTCACTTTGCTAAACTAAAATGTTTCTGAATAGTCATTAAGAAGTCATGATGCTTCTTTTTATCCTCACTTCTAAATAATTATGATTAACTTTTAAATCTAAATCTATGACTATTAGTCTGAAATTCATAACAACTAAGCAATAATCTCTTCCAAAAAAACTAAGCAATAATCAGAGCAAAATCACGACTTAAGTTCATACAGAGAAAATACATTGCAGTGGTTCATCTGAATGTTGTCTACACTCACGAAAGCAAGCCTTAGATGTGAAACTCACATGATTAAGGGAGCGTTTTCAAGTTAAAATTCACATGACATAGACTCAAGTTGAATAAATGTTTATCCAACTACTGACAAATAAAAATTAACAGCTGATTTTAAGGAAAAACGCATAACTAGAACAGAATTCCTATTTTTGAGGGGAAACACTTGATTATATCTTACTTTTAGTTATTAAACGTTAATTAGATACAAAACTAACCCTAATATTGAATAAATTAGAAATGAATACATTAATAGGCTTAAACTAAGAAATTGAAGGTCGATCAACCAAAATTTAGAACAATTTCATAGACACCAAGTAGAATTTGTCTTAAAAATTATGTAAAAAGAAACGGTAAAGCAAAATTCACCTTTTAAATTTCTGAAATCATATTTGAAACTCCATCAATCTCCATCAAGCTTAGAGGAAACGCAAATATAATCTAGGTTTACACATGCAGAGCATGCTCAGGTGCGAACTCCTCCAACTTGGATCTTCGAAGAAATACAAAAGAAGAATTTTCAAGCGATTGGTCAATGATTTCGTTTTTGTAGTTGATCGGAGAGACAAATTATACTAGAGCAGAGAGATCGATGAGAAGGGAATCGAATAGGGAGAGAGAAAGTCGTGAGAAAAGGAATAAACGAAACTATGTATACAAAATCATTTAATTATTAAGTGGGAGCAGATGAGAGCCGTGAGATTTGATCTAATCGTGCGGCTCCTATTACTTCTCATTTTTCAGCCTAAGGAAACTTCTCATCAGATTCATTCTATATATATATATATATATATATATATATATACACACACACATACATAGGTTTTGGTTCAAATAAGAACATGATCTTAGGAGAGAAATGAGAATAAATCTGGACTGTTAGATTTGATTTAAGTGAAATTCAATGTGCATTAGATGAAACTGTAACGTGCATTAGGTGAAATTGAAATGTGCAGCACAAAGGGCAGTACGATACAATGACATTATGTGAAGCTCAATTGTGCATTAGGTATAATTGAAATGTGCACTATGTGAAACTGAAATGTGCAGAATCAAAGGTACAATGTGACGTTATTTTTGTACATTTTATTCCGCATATTTCACCAAATGCACACTTGAGTTTAAATTTTTATTCTGCACATTTCAATATCATGTAATGCACATTTCAGTTTCACAAAATGCACATTTCCATTCCACATAAAACAATCCAACGGTCCAGATTCATTCTTATTTCTCTCTTGAGAGTCCGTTCTTACTGGAACACTATATATATATATATATATATATATATGTGTGTGTGTGTGTGTGTGTGTGTGGTTGGGTTCTAATAAGAAGACATCCTAACGTGAGAAGTGAGAAGTTTCACATTTGCCTCTTTCTGATGGACTTTTTCGCTAATCTGATGCACTCTTTGCGATGACAGAAAAGTTATGATTAATTACGGAAATGCCACCGCGTCAAGCATCACTTTTTTAATATTTTTTGCACTTTCCCGTGCACTTTTTTTGCTAATCTGATGCACATATCTTAAATTGAACGCACCAGATGCATTCTCACTTCTTACGATAAGCACTCTTCTCATTTGATCCTTATTCTATATACATATACATATACATATACATATACATCAGAACGTGATATATATACATATACATATACATTCTCACTTATATATATATATATATATATATAGAATAAAGATCAAATGAGAACAATGCTTAACGTCAGAACGTGAGAACACCACATTTACTCCACGGTGTTGCACAACGAAACTTGTATATTGCACATTTTCACATTTTCACAATATTTACCAAAATGTCACCGTGTTTATTTAATATAGGCTTAATTCGAGCAAATTGAAAATGTGCAATATAATATATATGAATATTTCTAATGAACTCCAATGATCCTCATGCTTGGCCAGCAAATATCCATCACGATTGCTTTCTAATCACACAAAGATGAGGAAAAAGCTTGACTACAGGATACGTTTCTTCTTTGAGCGATCACCACTGGTGCTTTTTAATCACCGGAGATCACGTCTTCTTCTTCCAGCACCTATTTAATCTCCTGCGTGCACTGTTATGTTAGGGCCGGCTCTCTCTTTTCTAACTAAAATACTGTGTCGTTTTGGAAATTGGGATCAAGCACACCATCCTAATGATGTGCCGATCGTAGGGTATAATTTGCGAAATTTTATGTTTCAATTTTTTCATAACGAAGTAGATTCAGAATTTTACCAAGTGCAAGCTATTCAATGCCAATGTACTAAACAGATATAAATGTGGATAGTTATCTATTGTCTATTTACATGAAAGAATTTACTAAACTTTTTTAAAATCAGTGACTCACCTATTTACTTCTACATGTTATACACAGTAGGTCTACAAATACATTTTTTTGCACATTAATATTGTGACATCTTATAGGGGTCGTCCAACATGAGTAGTGAATACATACTCCCTCCTCTATTTATTATTTTGTCAACTCTCACTTTTTAATTAATGATTTCAATAGCTTTGTCATTTACATTTCCAATTTGTAGTTATTGTTCATGTTCTATTCTCTCCACAAAGCTAAAAAGAACACGGTCTTACTCAATCAACTTGTCAAAATCAACTTTGTCAAAGTCATAAGAAGTTTATTAAGGGAGTACAGAGCCCGTTTGGTAGCACGAAAATCGGCTGTTTTGGTTGATTATGCTGAAATTTATGAAGTTCTGGCTGAAGTGGCTGTTTTGGCTGATTCTGTTGATTCAAGAAAAAAATATTTTAAAAATATATTTTATTAATAAATTAAAGAAAAAATTACATGTAAAAATAGATAAAATGGTCCTCTTCATTAACTTCAACCAATACAGCCAGAAAAGTAACTCCAACCTTACCTTTTCTGCTTATTACACAATTCAGCACATGAAAGTAAAAGTTACGTGTTTGGTGAAAAAGCTGGCTGATAAGCCTGATAAGCCGAAAAAAGAGGTCTCCAAACGGGCTCTAAATGTACAAAATAAGTAAATATTTAGGAGAACATTTTTGTTCACCCTCCTTGAGAGGGTGATATTAACCCTCCTTGACAAGGTAATACTTTTTAATTTAGCAATTGTTTTATCCTTTTTAAATCTAATTTTTGTAAAATATATATCAAAATTTTTCATTTTTACGATCTTTCATATGATACTAATATTGTATATGAAAACAATTATAAACAGCATCAACTAAAAATAGATATTTACAAAAAAAGATTATTTTCAATTTTTTAAATATAGAATAATGATACCATTGCAAAGATTATAAAAAACTAATAAATTTGATATATTTTTTGCAAAAATTAGGCAATAAATAAAAAGTTATAATAACATTTTTAAGAAAACAATGGGATGAAATGCCACATGGCAATCATAGAGGAAAGGGGAAGAAAGGGGATTATCTTCACCCTCCTTTGGGGTGAACAAAACTACACTCAATATTTAGAACTATTCTACAATAAACGGGTAGATTAAGGGGGGTTTT